GCTTTCCTATGGCCAATCTTCGCTAGACGACGATTCTTCCCCATTGGAACACATTAAACAGGTTTGAATGCATTCCAATGGGGAAATGCTTTTCGCTAGACAATGATTTCGCTTAACAGCGATTTCAATGGAACGGATTGTCATCGTCTAGCGAGGCACCATTTGTACTTTGGTTCCTCAGCTGGAAACATTCTGATCAACTAGAAAGTTGTCGGTAGTCATCTTTGAGAAATATATTATTTTTTCCCTGCAAATACTTGTTTAAAAAAAATCTCGGAAGAAACTTTATTTCGCATAAGCTTTCACAGACTGTAGCCACTTTTTAAGAGGCAAGTGGACTACAGTGCCTAAAAGTTTGTGCCAAAAAAGCCTTCAAAAACATGTAAATTTGGGCAGAAAGGAAGAGATAGTAGAAAGATACAGAAAGCAGCAGCTCTCTTTGTTTATTTTTTTACAGTAGGACCCCTGTATCCCTGGGAAGTCAGTTCCAAATCTCCTCTGTGTATGCTGAAAAATAGCATGGTCTCTGTCTCCCTCCAGTGGCCATTTCTAGTAATGACATTGTAGAAATATATCTAGAAAACATTATACATAGCATGGTCTCTGGCTCCCTCTAGTGGCTGGTACTGGTAACTTCACCTTTAGACATTTATATTTCTAGGAATTTTCTTTTAATATTTTTAATATTTTCAGACCTTGAATAAGTGAATCAGCGGATGCTGATCCCATGGTACCAGGGTCCTACTTTATAGAAGCGGATGTCTCAATATAAAGGAATGAATGTCCATTGTAACTCAGTGGTCTAATCTGCTTACAAGTATCCCATTCTGTCTTCCTTGCTTCCAGGTATATCCGAACCATGTACCTGGGGATCCAGAGCCAGAGACAAAAGGAACACCAGCGGCGCTTTTACTGGGCTATGATGTACGAATATGCAGACGTCAACATGCTGCGTCTCTTGGAAACTTTCCTCGAGAGCGCCCCCCAATTGGTGCTACAGCTCTGCATAATGATCCAAAAGAACCGTGCAGAAACCTTACCTTGTAAGTAGCGTGATCCAGGGCGTCCATCTCTCTGCCTCCATGCTTCGCTCTGCTTGATTCATTGTCAATGACCCACAACAACGACCGTTCCTGCCCTGATATTTCTTCAATGTATTGGAATACTTCCATGATGGGGTGGGTTAGGGGGTGATGGGGAGTGTAGTCAAGAAGAGGTAAGGAATATTCACCTATTTACCTCCGCATCCTTGATCAGCAAGGATGTGTCATCAAGACAACCTGTCACAAACACACAACGTTCTGAAAGGTGAAAATGCACACACCTCGCCTGGCCAGGGAGAATCATCCTGGAATTACTCACGGATGGGAACAAAGTCCCCACACAATCAGAAGGATGTCAGATCAGAAGCAGCGCACACCATCTTAGGAGATGGGGGCAACACTGATCTGTTCTGGCCACCGTGAAGTCCTGTGTTTCCATTCACCCAGTTTCTGGTGCATAGCATGGTGAAAAGACGTGTCAAGGAAGGAAGGCATACAAAAGGTGAATAGATGTCTCCTCAATCTTCTCCTTTGGTGCTGACCATTTCCTCTCCAAGAAGGGAAGGCAGAATGAGGTTGACCATCTTGGGGCCAATCCACAGCACTTTTTGGTAGGAAAGATGCTAAGCCAGTGGAGGCAAACCTTTTTGGCTCGAGTGCCCAAAATGAGGAGGTAGGGAAGAAACCAGTGGCTGCCGTGCCGCCTGGAAGACCAGAACCGGAACAGGAAGTGGCAGTTTCAGGGGGAACCATGGGGACGGACAGGAAGTTGAAGGGGGAATCATGGGGACAGACAGGAAGTTAAAGGGGGAATCATGGGGATGGACAGGAAGTTAAAGGGGGAATCATGGGGATGGACAGGAAGTTAAAGGACCCCGAACAGGAAGAGAAAGGGGGAATCCCAGCTGCAGCCACTTCATAAGGTTTGTCATGTGCCAGAAGAAAGGGCTTCGTGTGCCAGCTGTGGCACGCGTGCCATAGGTTTGTCATCACTGTAGCTAGGCTATAAGCCTGGAATAACATTGTCCAGCAGAATAGAGATGGTCCGACTCTGCTTCCTAAGCAGGGTCGGACAGGAGGCCTTCAACGAGTTGTCCTATTCTGCTCAGTTTGTAAGCAAGTGTGGGTGGATTTTCTATCAGGACACTAAAAATTACAGACATAAGCTAGCCTTTAGGCCCAATAGGGACCTTCATCTGGCAGAGCACCATGGAGCTGTTGATGATAGCAGAAAAACTCAGCGGTTCCGAAACTGATGCCCAGGCTTCTTGGTGAAAAATCAAGTTTCAAAATGGGAGCTAGAGATTCAGGATAGGGGGTGCAGGTTTCGGATGTCACTTCCAGCGGTGTGGATTGGAACGTCTCGGCCAGTCTTGTTAGATAAAGGCTCACCCGTCGACCAGCAACCTCTGAGCCCTAGATCGCACTGTATCAAAACACAACCTTTCTTTTCTTTTCTTTTATGTTTTTACCCTGCCTTTCTCCTCAAAAAAGAACCCAAGGCGCCTTACGTTGTTAAAAGACAATATTTAAAAGCCGTACAGTAAGTGTACAAATATTTTTTTAAAAAAACAGACAAATACAATACTAAAAACGGTCAACAAAATCTACCACCACCACCCCCAAATGGTCAAGAAAGAAAGAATAAGACCTTCTGCAATTATCTTTCGTAAGTGCGCAGTCTAGGTCAAGGACATGGATAGCTGGAGGAATCTTAAACGAAAGAGGTGGATTTATGCATGGGAACCTGAGGCTGAAGAATACATTTTGCTAAATTTAACCACCTTAGGAGGCTGTGAGTTTTGATGCTGTAAACTAGGAATGGGCAAACGGTGGCTTAAGGGCTGAGTTGCAGCCCCGTATATGTTTTTAGGGTGTTTCCCAAGGTTGCCTTGTCAGAAAAAAAGGAAGGACCCTTGTATCCACAGTGGATTGGTTCTGACCCCCTCCCCTGTGGATGCTGGAAAATGTGGATTATAGTGAACGCTAGCACCCTCTGGTCAGATTCCGAAAGATCTCCTGTATGGAGAATGAGTGCAGGGAAATCACCCCAGAGGGAGACCACAGCTGTGATACAAGGATATCTGCAAGCGGGATCTGAAGGCTTTAGGAATGGACCTCAACAGATGGGAAACCTTGACCTCTGAGCATTCAGCCTGGAGGCAGGTGGTGGAATAATGGCCTCTCCCAATTTGTAGAGGCCCTTGTCCAGCAGGCCGAGGCCAAGAAGCAGTCCCGAAACCAGCAAAATCAGGGAGCTGGACTGGGGACAGATTGTGTTTATCTTCAGTGTGGAAAGGAGGATCACTTTCGAATTGGCCTTGTCAGCCACACTAGATGCTGTTCCAAGACCTCTCTATTCAGAGCACGTTACCATTGTCTCTCGAGACTGAAGGATGCCCGTTAGAAATCCTTAGACATACATACGTATTTCTATGATTTTTCTTTTAATATTTTTAATATTTTCATACTGTGGCAAGGTGAATCCACACATACTGATCCTGTGGATAAAGGGGTCTTAGTGTATTGACCAGAAACATGACTGATTTCCTGACGGAAGCCTCCAGAAGCAACAGTTCTGTACCCCCTCCGACTCATTCCCGAACGGAAAGGAAGTAGACACTTTTACTTACTTTTACTTTATTTAGATTTATACCCCGCCCCTCTAGACAAAGTCTACTTGGGGTGGCTTACAAAAAATGATAAAATGATATAGTTATTAAAACTTAAATAATACAAGCAACTAACTAGTGGATATATACATTATCAAGATGGGAAATTAAAGAAGCGAAACAATTAATTGACTGGAGGGAAGGCCTGCCTAAAGAGCCAAGTTTTTAAACGGCTTTTAAAAACACCCAGCGAGGGAGCCAGGCGGATTTTCATTGGTAGATTATTCCACAGCCGAGGGGCCACTGCCGAGAAGGCCCGGTTTCTTGTTCTTTCCTTCCGGGCCTCTCTCGGCGTCAGTCCCCTCAGCCGTCCCTGCTGGCTTTGTCAGGTGATTCGAGTAGACCTGGGTGGGAGAAGGCGATCTGCCAGGTATCGAGGTCCCAAACCGTTTAGGGCTTTATACGCCATCATTAAAACTTTGAAATCAATGCGGAAACGAATGGGCAACCAATGCAGAGCAGCCAGGGTGGGGGAGATATGCTGATATTTCCTCACCCCACTAAGGAGCCTGGCTACTGCATTTTGTACCATTTGAAGTTTCCGCATCAATCCCAAAGGCAGCCCCACGTAGAGTGTGTTACAATGGTCTATTCTCGAGATTACGAGCGAGTAGACAAGAGTAGTGAGCCCCCCCATCAAGATATGGTTGCAGCTGCGCAATCCGCCACAGGTGAAAATAGGCATAACGGACCATGGATGCTACCTGGGTTTCCAAGGTGTATCCCCAAGCTGCGAACCTCACTCCTTGCGGTGAGGGTCGACCCCCCAAAAGAGAGGGAGTCACCCACACTGCTGATGGAAGGACCACCCACCCTCAAGACCTCCATCTTGTCCAGACACTTCCTGTTTTCCCCTCCCTTCTCAAGAGTAGGGAAGCCCACGATGAGTCTCGGCAGCAGAAAATTTGCTCCTGGACTCCTAGAACTTGTCCGCCCTTTCCGTAAACTGTCGTTGATCACGTGAACGTCACTTCCTGCCTCCATAGGTACAAATTCCATGGAAGTGGAGACCTAGCCGTTGTTACAGCATGGGCATGCTCCCGTAGCTATTCAAGAAACTGTTTATTTCTTTCTCTTTCTTCCTCCTCTAGATCTTTTTGGCAATGGCCTGCCTTGTAAACATGCTCCACGCCTGCCCCCCAGGATGATGATGTACACAACTGCGCCCCTTAGTCCCGTGCTTCCCGTTTAACTCTGTGGATTTCTGTGTTCTTCCGGCAGGTGTGTCCTCTGTGGCCTCCCTGATGTCCCTGGCTTGGGTGCTAGCGTCCTATCACAAGCTCCTTCGGGACTCTAGGGATGACAAGAAGAGCATGAGCTACAGAGGGGCCCTTATCCATCTCTTCTGGCGCCTCTTCACCATCTCATCCAGAGTTATCTCTTTTGCCCTCTTTGCTTCCATCTTCCAGCTCTACTTTGGGATTTTTGTCGTGGTCCACTGGTGCGCCATGGCCTTCTGGATCATTCATGGCGGGACGGACTTCTGCATGTCCAAATGGGAGGAGATCCTCTTCAACATGGTGGTAGGGATCGTGTACATCTTCTGCTGGTTTAATGTCAAGGAAGGCAGGACCCGATACCGAATGTTTGCCTATTACACCGTAGTCTTGACAGAGAACGCGGCCTTGACTCTCCTCTGGTATTTTTACAGAGATCCCGACACCACTGACTCCTACGCTGTGCCAGCACTTTGTTGCGTCTTTCTTAGCTTCGCCGCCGGGATCGCGCTGATGCTCTTGTATTACGGCATCCTGCATCCCATGGGCCCGAGAGCTAAGATTTTTGCCAGCTCCTGTTGCGCCGAATTGCTCTGGGGCATACCTTTGCCCCCTGACGTTGAACCTATGGATCCTCAAACGCCCGGGTACAGGGCGGACCAAGTAACGCCCACCAGAGTGGTCACGGAGCAACAGGAGGAACTTACTGCTGACACTTGCTTGCCCGTTTTCCAAGTGAGGGCCATGGTGCCATCGACTCCGTTGGGGAGACCTTACCACCCAGAAGGCCCTCTCATTAAAATAGACATCCCAAGAAAGAGGTACCCGGCTTGGGATGCCCATTTTGTAGACAGGAGGTTGAGAAGGACTATAAACATTCTCCAGTACGTCACCCCCACTGCTGTAGGAATTAGATATAGAGACGGACCTCTCTTGTACGAATTGCTACAGTACGAATCTTCACTTTAAAAGCTCCTTTAAACACAAACCCACATACACAGGAAACAAACACACACACATACACACACACACACACACAAAACTCAACACACGGTCACAGGCAAACAAGCAGCAACAACAAAAAAATTAAGAGAGGGGATTTGGGGTGGGGGGTGTGCGGGGTTAATTGTTTACGGTCAACACGGCTCATGAAACTAACCTTCCAATAAGTTTTCTTTCTGGTTGCAGTATGTATTTAAACAGCAGCAAGCAGCAACAGCAGCAACAACAACAACAACAAAAAGAGAGAGATCCTCTATGTTTTTGTAAGTAAAAACAAAAAAAAAGAGAAACGTTTATTTTGTTTTTTTACGCACAGGAGAAAAAAACGACGACGCAAACCAACCAGTGTTTCAAACTTCCACGCTTTAGAGGTTGGGTCAAACCTCCGCCTCTGAGTTTTATACCTTACACCACGTGTAGAACATTATCATAGGGATTGGTGCTGATTGAAAAATAATAATAATGCTAATAATTAAAAAAAATAAAACAAAACAAAACAAAAACCTTCAACTGCCTTATGCCCTTAAGGTGCTGAGTTTCATTACGTACTGTCACATCCCTCATGCAAAACGGTTTGACGATTCTAAGGAGAAAAAAAAATAGATATATGTTTCCATAAAGAGAGAAAGATATATATATATACACACACACATACACGTGTGGATATATAGATATATAGATATATGTATGTATATAATCTAAAAATTTGAAACCTAGGCAAAAGAATCAGACGGGGGAAAAGTAGCATTTTCTTTCACTCAACTGACGCAGACGCGGTCAAAACGAGTTCCCCTGGTCGAAAAAAATGACCAAGTTAGGTTTGAAAAGAGGTCATGACTGTATTTTGATAGAACAATATTTAAATTCCACATCTTCAGACCCAGTCTGGACTGTGTTTATAATGTTAGGACTGCACCTCTGATGCAGGAGGTTGGGGGGGTGGAGGGAGAGGGAGGTAATTTACAATTTGCAATTCACGGTACTTAGCTTGAATCTCAGGGTGTGATCTTTCTTTTCCAAGCCAGGCCAATTGAAAGCCAGCTTTTGACTTGCGCCCGTGGTCAAAAGCGAGCGATTGGCACGCTCTGAGATGCTAAGCTTTGGAGGTGACCCAGACGGTTCAAATGGAGAGCGCAAAAAAATAATAATCATCATCATGCGCTCAACAGGTTCCCGAACTAAGATCTCTTTTCTTCCGTTGAACCGAATGGGAAGCCGTTGTGTCTTCACATCAGATTTTTTTTTCTGCCAAAAGAGAGGATTTTTGAATTAGGGTGTCAGTCTCCGAAAGCGAGCCGTTTCGTTGGTTTTCGTTGCAACGAATAATTGGGTTTGGTCATCTTCGGGACAGAAAAATGTGTCTGTTTGATTTCTGGAAACAAATTTTTAGATGGCCTTTAATTTTTAAACAAAATACTGTACCAAAAAAAAGTATATCTATATATCTATATCTATATATAGATATATAGACATATATATAGATATATATATAAATCAAGAGCTCAATATATATATTTTTAAGTTCCATAATGATTTTCCTTCTCCTCCCAACCCCACCCAACCATTCTCAGTCTTAATAAAACTCAGCATAGTAGCAAAAAGAACGTCAGTTTAAAGGCACAGCACTTAAGCCCTGAGCGGCAAACGGGATTTGACCCGCAGGGATCATTTTAAGGCTACCAAGGTGGGAGACACGAATTGAAGCTGTAACGATGCATCTGATTTATTTATTTGTTTGTTTGTTTATTTTGTACGGGCCTTAAAGTGATCTTACGGAGTTCTGTGATTTGTTCCTGTTTTCTAACAAACAAACGTAAAAAGGAAAACGGAACAGTCAAGATGGCGGGTTGAACTTGATGTGTTTCTGGCAACAATTTGGTGCTTACTCTTTCTCTTGTTTATTGTTGTGATGGTTTAGCCAAAAAAAAAACAACCACTTGAGTTTGCTCATTTTCTGGGGAGCCGCCAACAAACAAACAAACAAAAACACTGGTTTCCGTGGTGCCCCTTCCGCTTTGATGCGCCTACGAAAGGAAACGGACATCCAGACGACAGGACTAGCGTAGGATTTCAACCTCAACATTTTGACCTCGGCTCTCGCAGGAATGCTAAGAAGTTAGAACTCTTTGTTGAAAATCTATTTGATGTCTGAAGGTTTACATGGGGTTGTTTTCTTCTGGTTTGAAATGGCAAACTGTGCATATCTTTTTTTTCCCCATTGGAAAACTATTGTTTCTTTAAAGGGTTTTTTTTTCCCTTTCATCTTGGGCATCTTTTCAGTCCCCCTGCCTTCATGACTGAGGGGTTAAAAAAAGGGGAACAAGCAAACTGACACAAAAGGGGTTTTTAATTCAATGAAAGTGAATTGCTTTCTTCTGTGTATAGGTGCATTTTGTTTTTTTACAAGAAAAATCAGAAATACTGTAAAATGTTTAAAATGGCAAAAAAAAAACCCACCACCCTCAACAACACCCCACAACCCAACACAATGACACCCAAATCAATCCATTTTAAATATGAGATCATCGGGGGGGGGGAATGTCTTCAATGGTGGTGGAATATATGTGATTGTTAAGTTTAATTTGCAAATATGTTGTTCAAAAAAAATCATGCCGGTTGTAATTTTTTTTTCTCCTTTAATATCTTAAGCTGAACGGTTTTTCACCTGAATATACCTGAGGAAGAAGCAACTATTACAGTGAAAATATGTGTTGCTAGGATTATTATTATT